TGTTGCTTCTGTTATTGCTGATATCCATCTTTAGTCTGTAGTGATCCAGCAGAATGCAGGGATTTATTGTGGTTTTCCTGTACCTATTGAGATTTGCTTTGTGTCAGAGTATGTGGTCAATTTTAGACAAAGTTCCATGAAGTACTGAGAAGAAGGTATATTCTGTGTATTTTGGTGAAATGTTCTATAAATATCTATTAGACCCATTTAGTTTATAATGTCTGTTAGCTCCAGTATTTCTGCTTAGTTTTTTTCTGATGACCTGTCAATTGGTCAGAGAGGGGTTAAAGTCTCCTACTATAAATATGTGAGAGTCACTATGTGATTTATGTTGTAATAATATTTCTTTGACAAAATGGGCATCAATGTTAAGAATTGAAATGGGTTTTTTTAGTTGATTTTCCCTTTGATATGTATATAGTGTTCTTACCCATCTCTTTGGATTAGTTTTGGTTTAAAGTTTATAGTGTTAGAAATTAAAATGATTATCACAACTTGTTTTGAGGGGGAAAAGCACACAAGAAAGTGGAAGGTGTCACTTCCCATCTTGGGCCTCCATCTTTGGAAGCCTCGCCCCGTGCCAGCCAAACCTTGCCCATACCCGGAGGAGGGTCAAGGCAGCCCACCAAAAACTTGACCACTCTCCCAGTCCATTTAAACTGCTCCCCAGAAAAGTCCCCTCATAGTCTCTTCTCTTTCTGCCCTCCCCCCCTCCTGTGGTCACATATCATGGGTTCCCAGTTTCCCTTGGGGCCACCAGAAAGCACAGGAATCCCATTAAACCTAAACCTCCTTTAATTTGGCTTGTTGTGATTTGGCTTGATTGGGATTTTTGTGTAGGTAGAGAGCTCACATTAGGAAAAAAAATTCCAAACATCTGGAAGTCCCACCTAGATAGGGTAGCCTATCTGCATGGCTTATGTCCACATGTCGAAAGCACCCTAGTCCACAATCCAAGATATCTATGCCATCCTAAAACCGGCTCCTGGACTACAGTGCCTGTGTCTTGGTGGGTTTCTTTTTCTTGTCTATGTAATAGGGTTTTGGAGGACCCAATAGTGTTTGCTTTTGTCAATTATCAGACTTTTGTTGAAGCTGTGGGCCTGAGCCAAGAGTCCCATCTCAGAGGCTAGGCTTGGCCTAGATGAGGTGGATTTTGTTTGCTTTAGGGAAGCCTAGCATTCAATTTCCATGGCCCTGTTTAGGCCGAAGAGGTATTTTGGCAGATGAGCTCTAATAGACTTAAGCCACATAGTCAGGCATAGATTCTAAAATGGGCACTTGCAGTTTAAGCCAGATCTGCTGACACCTCTGGGATGACTCTTACAAAACCTTTATAAGTTGAGACTGTCCAATACAATCTGCCCCAAATGGTTAATTTCCCTATGTGCTAAGATTTGGTCTCAATCCTATCTGGACAATGGGACACAATGGCCACCAGAAGGAAGCCTTGAGCTTACTGTCCTCTGGGACCTAGAAAATTTTTATTGCCATAGGGACAAATGGGCAGAGCTTACATATGTCCATGATTTTTGGGCTCTGTGCTCTCACTCTTCCCTCAGTCTCCAGTGTCTCACAGCACCGGTCTTGGTTTCTATGGATGTGATGCCTCCAAATTCCCAGTCATCTGGAAACTGGAACCCCAACAATTTCAGATGGACCGTGCAGCCAGAGGTACTGGCCCCTCTACTTCTCTCTCAAGCCCGCACCACCCAACCCTGTCCTGTGGAACAACATTCTCTGCATTTCTCTCCATCCCTGTCTACCCCCTCCCTTGCCAATCCAGAAGTTTAAGGTCATCTTCCACCTTACACACCTTCCTCCCCCCTCCCACCAATACCTCATCTTTCCACCCTTGGACACCCTTTATGCACTGGGCTAGCCCCTTCCAATCCTTCCCATTCTCCTCCCATACCAGATCCCATCATAGCTCCACCCTTTTCTGCCCTCTCTGGGAAGTTGTGGGATTTGATGGCATTATAAAAGTTCATATTCCCTTTTCTCTTCTAGATCTCACTCAGATAGAAAAGCGGCTATGTTCCTTTTCTACTAATCCTTCTGCATATAGTAAAGAGTTTCATTACAGAGGAGAGACATTATGTTTCTTTGCCTCCTTCAGGGTATGGAAATGGTCTCAGAAAAATGTAGTTAACTTTAAAAATCCAGCCATTTTTAAAAATCGGTTACAAAAGATCATTGTCCAGTATGCCAGTCTAGATCCAGCCTCCCCAGCAGAAACCATGGTCACGGCTTCCCATTTTATTTCACAATCAGCACCAGGCATTAGAAAAACATTTTAAAAAAAAGGCTGAGGAGGGTCCCCAAACTCCTATATGGGAATTGATAAAAATGGCCTTTAAAATTTTTAATATTTTTAATGCCCAAGAAGAAACAGTGAGTCTTCCCGACAGATAAGGCCACAACAATCAGTTAATCTGCAAGCTCAGACCTTAGCAGCTGCCCTAAGGTCACAGAAAGGGGAACAAGGGAAGCCAACCACAAGGCTCTACCCCATGGAGCCCAGCCTAAGTCAACCTCACAGGCAGACTGTTATGTGTGGCCTAAATGGCCATGTGGCATGATATTGCACTAAATCTCCTATGAGGCTATGCCCTATCTGCCAGCAACCTGGACATTGGAAATCACAATGCCCCCATGTGGGCTTATCCTCTATGCCATGTCATGAAGGTCCAGACTCACCAACATCGATAAGCGAAACTGTGCCAGCCTTCAAACTTCTTATCCTTGCAGAGGATTGATGCTGCCCAGACTTGGTATATACCGTAACCCTATGTGAGCCTAAGGTGAAGCTGCAGATAGCAGGTAAGTCCATTACTTTCCTTTTGGACACGGGAGCTTCCTTTTTTGTTCTAACATTTCACTTGGGCCTTATCCTCTCCTTACCATTTTCAGTTATCGGGGTAGACGGGACCGTTCCTCCCCACTTAAAACTTTCCACTGCCCTACATTCTTGCAAGACAATCTTTCTCTTATTCTTTCTCAGAGATACCTGCTTGCCCAGCACATTTACCGGGTCAAGATATCCTTAGCTAACTTCTACGTCTCTCGAACTTCAATGGACAGGACCTCACACAACACCTGCCTTCTCACCTCCCCCAAAAAAACAGTTGCCTGGTGTCTCTGGGATGACAATGAACAGGATGCCTTTCCAGCTACAACTCTTGCTGAGCATGGGCACACCAATACCCAGCTCTTCCCTTCCCCACGTTGGCCCATGGCCGCAGGAAGTAGCTAGAGCTGAGTCAATGCCCCTTTTTCCAAAGAGAGCCTAAATGATAGTCAAGATATCACCTCAGGTTCCTGTCACCCCTTATACAAGAAGTCTGGAATGTGAGTCCCAGTCTTGGGCCCCCATCTTTGGAGGCCCCATCCCTTGACCAAACTTTGACCCCTTCCCAGAGGAGTGTCAAAACAGCCCACCAAGCCTTGGCCCCTTCCCAGAGGAGTGTCAAGGTGGCCTGCCAAAAACTTGACCCCTCCCCTGAGGAAGATCAAGGCAGCCCACCAAAATCTTGATTACTACCCCAGTCTATTTAAACTGCTCCCCCTGAAAATCCCCTCATAGTCTTTTCCCTTTCCCCAAGTGATCACGTTAGTGGCTTCCCAGTTTCCCTCAGGGCCACCTGAGAGAACAGGAATCTTATTACATTTGGATTTCCTTTAATCTGCCTTGTTATGATTTGGCTTTATTGCGATATTTGTGTTACAGAAAGCTCGCTTTAGGAAAAAATCCTAACATCAAAAAGAATTCCTAACAGAAGGGAGCTAAATTCCGCATTCAAAGACATAAACAGATTAAGAAATGGAATAAAGGGTGTGGTAATTTCAGGACAACATCCCACCCAACTAAGCTTTCAACTTGTGAAAAGGAACTAAAGAAAAGATTACAGTTGGGTGTGGTGAGATACAACTGGAAGGCCTAAAAAAAAGCCATTGAGCCCTGGAATGTGTCAGGGGTGTAACTGAGTGGTGGGCTAGTAGAGAAGGCATTATGTGAAACTGTGAGGTTGTAGCCTAGATTGCCTTGGAGAATTCAAGATGTCAAAGATACCAGAGTCATGGGAGACCTGTTGAGGAGAGCTGCGAACAGGGAGTGAAACCAGCCCAAGAGAAAGATGTGTGTGGCTGTCAACAAAGCTGAACGAGATCTGAAGAGTGTTTTGACATGAGACATGGAGATGCAGTGTTGGCGTTGCCTTGCTGATTTCGTTTGCTCTGGTACAGTATTTCCTTGCTATGCTCCCTTCCCTATGTTTTGGAAGGGCAATGTATATATCCTATAATGTGTCATTATACATTGGAAGTATGTGATCTGCTTTTTTATTTTTATTTTCACAGATAATTGCAGTTAAAAGATTGCATGAACCTCAAAAAAATGTTTTGAACATTGGACTTCAAACATCATTGAGACTGTGTACTTTTTTCAAAAACTATGGGGTCTTTGAATTTGGCCTAATGAATTTTGCACTATCGTATTGTTGTTGGGGTCAGGGAGTAGATTTTGAATGAAATTGCCCACCATAACTCCAAAGAGCCTGGCAGTATTAAGAGCTGTAGCACTGTTGAGGTAGGTATGGCTTTGTTGGAGGAAGTGTGTGACTGTGGGGCAGGCTTTGAGATCCCTTTTACTTGAGCTTTGTTCAGTGTCAGTTGACTTCCTGTTGTCTACAAGATGTAGAACTCTCAGCTACTATTCCTGCACCACATCTGCCTGCATCCACCTTGCCCACAATGATGAAAATGAACTAAAATTCTGAAACTGTAAGCAAACCACCACAACTAAATGTTATACTTTATATGATTGGTCATGGTCATGGTATCTCTTCCCAGCAATAGGAACACTAAGAGAATTACATTTAAGGGAAGAACAAAAATTAACCAGAAGATGAACATGAGTAAAACACAACCAATTTTAATTGTAATAAACTTCCAAATTACCAATTAAGTATTTATTTCAATTAGAATTAATCTCAGCTATGTGCAAAGTAAAAATCCAAATAACAGTACTTTGATAAATATGGTTTATTCTCTATTACACTAAGATAGCTCTAGGAATGGTGGGACAAATTTATGGTCATCAGGCCCAAGTTATTCCATTGTTCTGGTTTATTTCCCTCAATTAGTAGCTTTCATCCTCAGCATAATCCATGGATCAAGTAACTCTGGGACCTCCAGTTTTCACACCAGTACTGCAGTTTCACAGATAATGCTAGAAAGCAAAATAAAAACCTTTTCTTTCCATAAAGGGCTGTTCTGAAAATGTCACACATATCATTTGCCAGGTCAGGATCAGATCCAAAGGAAACTGAAAGAAGCTATTAGCTGTGTCTATCTTTATATAACTAGACTTGTATTACTGAGCAATGTGTTAGTTACTTTATGCTACAATTGTGCTACCTGATAAGCAAACATAGGAACTTTATGGCAATGACTGTTCATTTGTCAGGGTTAGTACGGATCATCATGTCTGATGATTTTGATTGAGTTTGCTCAAGGGTCTGAGGGAAAGCTCACTCTTGGATCCTTGAGCTGATTCAACAGAGAGAGGAAAGGCTTGACTGGCATGGGTCAGCTGTGTTCTCTTCTCATCCTCCAGCAGGTAGGTCATCCATATTCCCACAGAATGAAAAGTAGAAACACTCAGGACCTTTTGAGACCCAAACTCAAAACTGAAAAACTGCCATTCATGTATCTTTTTATTGGCCAGAAATGACTACTTGGGGTGAATGAAGACTGACCATAAAGTGCTTATGCAAAGAACTTTGAGATCTACTAGAAACATGACAAGAGAGGTGGGGTGAAGATTCAGTCATGAAGAGAAGTGTCTTCCATAAGTAGAACAGGGAAGAGAGACAATGAACCAAGGCACTTGTAATCTCTGCCCCTGTATGTCCTGGTCTGTTGCAGAATTAGAGTACTAGATCTCTTAACACTTTATGTCCTGACTTGAACTTGAATATGCTGTAATGGAAAAGGAGATAAAAAAAGAGCTCATTCCCTAGATGTATTTGAGTGACAATTATGACTTATTTACTGCTTGACACATACTGATTTCCTACTATTAAACTGGGCATTAATTTTGATATTAGCACTATTCCTTGTATTTAGTAGGTTTTAATTTTATGTTTTTGCTTTTTGCATTTTTGAGCCAACCACCCAGCTCCCAAGTAAGTCACATGGAGTCTTATTACTTATAAATGCTCGGCCTTAGTTTGGCTTGTTTCTTGCCCTCTTTTCTTTCTTTTTTAAATGTGCTAGGAATAGGAAGTTGATAGAAGCTAACCTGGAGGATGTGGGTGACAGAAATCTATCCAGTATGGTTGCTCACCATTTGCTAAGCCTTCTTCTTCTTTGGTTTGAGAATTGGGGAAAGGTGATAGTAGATGGACATTCATAGCATGTATGGTGGTAAGACCCAGGCTTTTATCTGTAGATTCATACTGCATGGCTACAGGCTGACATACAACTTCTAACAACCATGAAGACATCAGGAGCAGGTAAGCTGGATGTCAGTGAGAAAGGTAATGGCAAATGGCTGTCTTCTTGTACTGTGTCATCAGACTAATGAGCTGCAGAAATCTAGATTTTCATTTTCTAGAAATAAACAAAAAATATTATAAAATACAATTAAGCAAGAATAAACAGAAACCCACAGGAGTCAAGAAACTTGTAAATAAATTCATAAAGTTCCAGCAACTTCATTTCTATCACTGGTTCCTGAAAGAGAAGGCCAGGCTAAGTCCCTTCTCAGATCTTCAGCAAGGCAGAACTTTGCCAGCACTGTGGGTACCTAAGCCTGGGCTTCATTATTTAGAGAAAGCCTGTGCTGTAGAAGAGCTGAAGGAACAACCATGATGGGGTCATATAACATACTTTCCCAGTCCACTGTGAGCTCAAACTTTTGACAATGTTTTCATCTAAGGAGTCTTAACATTTCAGTTTCTATTCCTACCTGAAATAATTTCTCTTCTGGAAGAAAGCAGATCCTACAATAAGCAGAATAATCCCCAGAAGGGAAAGTTTCACGTAGAGAATGATCAGCAGGGAACGCAGTGTGCTGGTGACACCTGTAACTACAGGCAAGGGCAAAGGACAAGTCAGTTCAATAATGGTCCTCATCAAGAATTAAGACAAACAGCTGTAAAATCACTTACAGTACTCCTAATGTTTTAGGGAATACCCAAACCAGAAAACCTTATCAATTATAATTCAAATTAAATGATATTCAGATATCATTATTTCATGATCTAATTTAGTAACCTAGTCCACCTTTCGTGCTTAATAGGCACTGACAAATATTTTACAGTGAATAGATGCACACTAAGTATTGTTAATACTCCCCAGTTATATAAGGAAGGTTTCATGCAAACTTATATTCATTTTTATAAAAATATGATTGCATTTTTTCTACCCATTCCTACTCCTTACTCGAACCTTTCAATGCTTCCTCTTAAATTCCTAGCCTCTTCTTATGAATTGATTTAGTTGCCCATTTTTATAAAATATGCAAATGCAATCTGCTTTGTTAATTATGCTTTGTTTATTTAGTGTAGCTTGAATGTGCATGCTTTCAGAACTGGACACTTAATATTGAATAACCAATTAGGGGGCCATCTCTGGAGAAGACTACTTCACCCCCTTCTCAGTAACCCTTAGTTAGACGTAATTCTTAGTCTAGGGATGTCTTGGGGTTTTCACTGCTATGAAGAGACAAACTGAGCATGGCAACTCTTATAAAGACACCATTTAATTGGAGTGGCTTGTTTATGGTTTCAGAGGTTTAGGCCATTTTACGTCAAGACAGGGAGCATGGCAGCATGCAGGCCGATGTGCTGGGCTGAGAGTCCTGCATCTTGCAGGCAACCGTAAGTCAGCGGCCTCAGTAGATGGTTTCTGGGCATAGGAAACCTCAAAGCCCACCTCCACAGTGAGATACTTCCTCTAAGAAAACCATACTCACTCCAGCATAGCCACACCTTGCAGTGCTGTTCTCTGTGAAATTATGGGATCCGATTACATTCAAACTACCTCAAAGGGTGAGGACCCATGAGATTTTACCCCTCCCATCCTTGTATACCTATTGATGATGGTTTACTGGGTGAAGCTTTCTTGTCATTTCCAGGAGATACAAACTTATTTTAAAATGTTTTTATCTATTCATTCATTCATTCATTTTACATACCCATCACTGTTACCCTTCCCTACTTTCCTCCCATTCCCTACTCCCCAGCTTCTCTCTACCTCCACTGAATCCATTCATCCTCTGTTTCTGTTCAGAAAGGGGCAGGCTTCCTGTGGGTATCATCAAAGCATCATATATCAAGTTAACATTACACTAAGATTTCCTCCTTGTATTTAGGCTGGACAAAGCAATCCAGTGAGAGGAATCGATTCCTCCTAGCCTGCCAAAGTGTTAGGGACAGTCATGCTCCCAGTGTTCAGAGCTGAGCATATAGACCAAGCAACACAATGGTCAAATATTAAATCAGTCCCATGCAGTCTCCCTGGTTGTTGGTTCAGACTCTGTGAGTTTCTATAAGCCAGGTTACATGCGTCTGTGGGTTTTCTTTGATGTCCTTGAACTTTCTGACTCCTGCAATCCTTCCTGCCATTGTGCAAAAGAATTCCTGGCATATAATTAAATTTCACAAAAAAAAAAAAAAAAAAGAATTCCTGGTGCCCAGCCTAATGTTTGGCTAGTGATCTCTATATCTGTTTCCATCGAGTTACTGGATGAAGGCTCTCTGATAACAATTGGGATAGTCACCAACCTGATCATAGGATATAACCAGTTCAGGCTATGTATCCACTATTGCTAGGAGTCTCAGCTGGGATCACCCTTGTAGATTCGTGAGAGTTACCCTTGCATCAGTTTTCTGCCTGGTCCCCAAAAGCCACCCTTTCCAGTATTCTCTTTCAGTCCTCTCAAACTTCAACCACTCTCCAAACCAACTCCTTAAGTGCCCATGCCCACGTACCCCCAGTCCATCCACGATATATCTTCTATTTCCCAGGGATATCCATGTGTCTCACCTTGTCTTCCTTGTTACCTAGCCTCTCTGGGTCTGTGGATTTTAGCTTGGTTATCCTTTATTTTACAGTAAATTATACATCCACTTATGAGTGAGTACATATCTTGTTTGTTTTCCTAGGTGTGGATTGCCTCTCTCAGGATGATGTTTTTCTAGTTCCATTCATTTGCCTTCAAATTTCCTCTTCCTCATTGTTTTTAACAGATAACACTCTAATGTTATCTAAATGTTGTCTAAATGTATCATATTTTTTTTATCCATTATTTGGTTGAGAGGCATCTAGGTTGTTTCTAGATTCTGGCTATTACAAATAATGCTGATACGAAAATAGTTGAGCAACTATCATTGTGGCATGATTGAGCATCCTTTGGCTATATGCCCAGGAGTGATACAGCTGGATGTTGAAGTACATTAATTCCCAGTTTTCTGAGAAACTGACAAATTGATTCCCAAAGTGGCTGCATAAGTTTGCACTCCTATCAGTAATGAAAGGGTGTTCCCCTTGTCCACAACTTCCCCAGCATAAGTAGTCATTTTTGTTTGTAATCTTCGCTATTCTGACAGGTGTAAGATGGAATTTCAGAGTCAGTTTGACTTGGACTTCTCTACAACTAAGGATATGAAGCATATCCTTAGGTGTCTCTCGGTAATTTGAGATTCTTTTGTTGAGAATTTTCAGTTTAGGCCTCTCCCCCATTTTTAAAAATGGTTTATTTGGTTTGTTGATGTCTAGTTTCTTGAGTTCTTTATATATTTTGGAGATCAGGTCTCTGTCAGATGTGGTGTTGATGAAGATCTTTTCTCATTCTGTAGGTCACTGTTTTGTCTTATTTACATTATCATTTGCCTTACAGAAACTTTGCAATTTCAGGAGGTCCCTTTTATTAATTGTTGATCCTAGTGTCTGTGCTACTGTTGTTCTATTCAATAAGGTAAGGAGAGAGAATCATGTAGTAGATTTCCTTGTCCTATGGCTCTTTTAATGTTTTTCCCCTCTTCTATAATATTCCCCGAACATTAGGTATAGGAATTGTGTTGTATATGTATCCTTGGGAACTGGACATTCTATGATCACTGTTCTCTGAATTTTGACCATTTGTGACATTCTACAATGGATTTTATGTATTACAAAGAAAAACTTCTTTGGTAAGGGTTAAGAGCCACACTTATTGGTAGGCATAAGAGTATTTTTAATTCAGATAAGCATTACTCTGGTTCAACTTAGGGATGTAGTACATTTTCTCTAAGATTAATGACCTCACTAACCTTGAGTAGCTGGCTAGGTTTCCAGTACCAGGCATGATCTTCCTCCTATTGAGTGGGCCTTGAATAAATTGGACAGCTTTTGTTGTTGCCATGATGTGGTTACCACTATTGAACCTTATGGACCAGCCTTGCTGGTCATTGCTGTGGTATCTTCATAGACACTTGGCACCACCAATTGCTTCCCTTTTGGGGCACCTTGCACAGCACTTCGGTGACTATGAAAGCTAGTTCAGGGAGGCAGTTCTTGGGGCAAATCCAGCTTATACTTCTGAGTCCTCTGTCTGTAGGGCATCCCGTGCTAATTTTCGACTTTTGAGAATTTCATACAATGTCTTGATCATATTCACCTACAACTCCTCCTCCTAACTCCTACCAGATCCATGCCCAGCTTTGTGACCCAACCTCTTTTTATAACACGCGGGCTTTCAATTTATGTTGCCCATTAATCTCCTGATGGAGCCTATGAAGAACAACAGCCTTAAAGCTAGCTGACTTTCTCTCTCTTCAAAAAACCGTGAACTGTCCCTAATTCCTCATTTTTCAGTGCATGGCATGAGGAAGACACCATGCCACACAGCTTATGTGAAAGGATTTCTGTTAAGGGAAAAGGAGCATAAAAGGAAAAAAGGAAGGGTAAGAGGGACAGAGACGCAGAGAGAGGGGGGGAAGAGAGAAACAGGCAGAGAAGCAGGTGGAGGGACAGATAGTCGGGAGGGAAAGAAAGAAAGAAAGAAAGAAAGAAAGAAAGAAAGAAAGAAAGAAAGAAAGAAAGAAAGAAAGAAAGAAAGGGGAGGTAGATAAAGCAAAATGCATCCTCAGTTCTGTGAATCATTCTACCAAATCACTGACAATGACCGTGATACATAGATTATGAAAACATCCTGAATGTATAGCTAGCTGATAAGAATCGCAGGTGGTAGATAACTGAAAACTTGTTACTGGTGTCTGAAGTGGATATCTTGTCCTAGTTAGCATTAACTATCTACTTGACACAGCCTAGATCTTCCCAAAAGGCCAGGACAATAAGGGCGGCCCCACTCCCTGGGCAGGTGAGATAGTAGCACAGATCCGAGGAGCTCGTAAGCAGCTCCATGGTTTCTGCTTGAGTAGTCTTGACTTTCCTCTCCCCTCCTCTAGGTAGCTTTGGCCACAGTATTTGTCACAAACAGAGTGAAATTAGAATACTTCTCTTTAGTGAAAGAATAAGTTAAATATCAAGTATTTATTCTTTAAAAAGGGGTGATACTGACCTTGATTCAGTTCTATGGACAGAGTCTGGTTGCCAGTCGGATGGAAGACAAAGCAGAACACAGCAGACACATTGTTCTGCTCCCAGTGGTATGTGCTCCTGACAGTCACGGTGCCATTGCTGTGTGATTCCTGCTTAGTGATGTGATTCCCATCTGGACTCCAAAAGATCTGCGCAGCCGGCTTGCCTGCAATTGCCTCACAAACTGCAGTTCTGTTTTCCCCTGGAAGCAGGGTTACTGCTGGAGGCACTGTGGAGATGGAAGGGAAAAATGATTCAGTCTGGTCACAAATGACAAAGGCGTCTGTTTCTATCTACAAAGGCATGAAATAGCACGATATGTGACCATGTCACTTACCTAGCACATGGAGGTCATGTCTCCTTAGGAAATTCCCCTGAAGTGTTGCTATTTCACATGAATAAAGCCCTTCATGACCGAGGGCCACTGCATCGATCTGAAGGTCAGGACGCTGGTCAGGTGTGGAGGCCCAGGTGATTCTCCTGCCCATACAATTGGTTTCATTGATCTCCTTTGTATCTACTCTGTATGATATTCTGCAGGGAGGCTGCCCTCTGGGGGCTATGACCCAAGATACATAAAGTGCTTTTGTCATTGGAAGAGCAGGGCAGCACAGCACAGCGTTTGCACCCATCTGTACAAGCAGTGTAGTGCTAACTGGACACAGACACAAAGAACAGGAAAAGGAAACCTGTGTTAAGTCTGTCCACAGCAGGGTATATGAAGCTACACAAGAGCATTGCTTGACTTATGAATGTATTCCAGAAATACTCGAATTTTGTCACAATTCTTGTTTCTATATGTTCAATCTATAAGAATTAAATATATTATTCACCTTCTAATGTGAAAATTCAAGGCCTGTGGGTTACATGCATCTTGCACTACAAAACTTCCCACTGACTGTGTACTGACTTAGAGTCCATGATGGATACAACTTTGCTGAGTGGTGATTACTCAACAAATTATCTGTTATAGCCACCTGTGACAAAAGAGTCAGTGATGTCACCACTTTAACAGGAGCAGAAGTCGCTGTGAATGAGCCTTGACTCTGATAAGCATTGTATTAACCATCTCAACTACACCATTTCAGTGGTGCTTGCCTCTTTGGGGTCCTCATGTCCTCACAAGTCACATCAAATAAAGGTCATCTAATTAGATGATGAAGGGTTCTTTAGCACAGACTTGGGAGGGTGCTCATCCCATAGCCTTTCTTACCCTAAGACAGCAAAGGTGCAGAGACCATCGTTCAGATCCCTCCTGACATAACTCTCACATCACCAGGTTCCTCCACTTCTCCTAAGTCTCTCCAGAAGCCCAAGCATTAGGTAAAACTGTTTCTAAGCAAGGTGAACTCTCTATTCCCTCAGTGCTGGCCAAAGATAAAGAAGAATAGTACCTTCTGTCATGGGTAATGAACCCCTCTGTGTCATTTGATTCCAATCCATACATGAGCATCTTGACTCTAGAAAATATTTAAATAAGAGTTTTAAATATTTAAATGATTATAAAATAGTAATTAGAAGTTGTATCATCATATGTCAACATCTTTCTCAACATCTTTTAAAAATAGATTTGTTACATCCTAATCCATTATTTCCCTTTTATGAGCAACCTTATTTTGTCAAATAGTTTGTAGAGTAGCTCTGCCTGTCTTCTTCCAACCCCTTGCCTAGTAGGCATAATGCATGAGCTGACTTGATTAAACTCCTTTCTCCAGATGGATAATTGGGGGATATTCAATCACCCTTTGAACCTGAAGTTTGCATCTGCATTGATTCAATAAAATTAACCATAGTTCAAGAGACTGAGTTACCAACAAGTTGACAAAAAGTAATCATAGAGCTTTAGAGGGCATCCGGGAGGGATAAAGATAGGGAGGTATTGGAGTGGCACAGCTACTTTTGTTTTGTTTGTTTGTTTTGGAAGAGCAGAAGGACTGGGCTTTGGAAACACCAGCAAGGAGAGGTTATCCATTTGTGACCCAGACTCTCTGAGCTATGAGGTTTTCAAACCAGCCTTTGAATCTTGACTCTGATTTATAAACAGAATGTAGAGACTTAGTTAAAGCTACATTTAGTGGCAGTGAGGGAGCCAGTGCCCACAGGAACAGAATTTCTGCCAGGCTGCCACCCTAATGGCTGCTGCAAAGTAGGCCGGTATTTCTGGATTAATAATTGTTGGCTGAAATAGCAGTTGATTAAGGTGCAGACACCGGGCTGAAATTTAACCAATATTTGATGCGTCAATGTGTGGCATGATCACAGGGTCAGAGAAGTCATGCCAGCTGATTCTGCTGCAGTTGCTGTCTGGGCCTCTCTGCATGAGCACTCACAACAGTCAGCTCATGCATTATGACCCTAAACAAAACTCAAGTTCAAGTAGATTAAAGGTCTCAGCATAAATCCAGACACACTAAACCTAGTAGAAGAGATAGTGGGGAATAGCTTTGATTGTACTGGTACAGAAATATTTTCCTGAATAGGACACTTATAGCATAAGCACTAAGATAAACAATCAATAAATGGAACCTAATGAAACTGACAAGCTTCTGTAAGGCAAATGACACTATCCCTAGGACAAAATAGCAGCCTGTAGATGCAAAAAGATTTTTACAAACTTCATATCTGACAGAAGGCTAATGTCCAAAATATGTAAAGAATGCAAGAAACTAGATAACAACAAACCAAATAATTCATTAAAAATGAGGTATAGATCTAAACAGAATTCTCAACAGAGGAATCTCAAATTGTTAAGAAACACAGAAATATTCAACATCCTTAGCCATCAAGAAAATACAAATTAAAACTACTTTGAGATTCTATTTCAGACCTGTCAGGATGCATAAGATACAATATAAAAGTGTGTCAGCTCATGCTGACAAGGATATGGAATAAGGCAACACTTATTCATTGCTAATCGGAACATAAACTTGTACAGCCAGTATGGAAATCAATATGGTGATTCCTCAGAAAATTAGGAATTGACCTACCTCAAGATCCAGCTATACCTCTCCTGGGCATTACTCTAACCCAAAGATTACTCTACCATAACACAAGGACATTTGCACAACTCTGTTCATAGCAGTTTTATTTACAATAGCTAGAAACTGGAAATGCCCTAAATGCTCATCAACTGAAGAATGGATTTAAAAAAAATGTTGTACATCCATCCAACTACTAACCAGGCCCAACCTTGCTTAACTTCTGAGAACAGATGAGATCGGGTATGTTCAGCATGGTTAATGCGACCTCCTAATTGAGAAACTTCAGTAAAGCAGAGGACACAGTCAATAAGACAAAAAAAAAAAAAAAGCAGTCTAATAAATGGGAAAAACTTCACCAACCCCATATTAGACAGAGGACTGATCTCCAAAATATATAAAGAACTCAAGAAATTAGACATCAAAATATCAAATAATTCAATTAAAAAATAAGGTACAGATCTAAACAGAGAATTCTCAATAGAAGAATTTGAAATGACTGAAAGACACATAAGAAAATGTTCAATATCCTTAGCCATCAGGGAAATGCAAATCAAAACGATTCTGAGACACCATCTTACACCTGTCAGAATGACTAAAATCAAAAACACCAATAATACCTTATGCTGTAGAGGATGTGGAGTAAGAGGAACACAGCTCCATTGCTGGTTGGAATGTAAATTTGTACAGCCACTCTGGAAATCAGTATGGCAGTTTCTCAGAAAATTGGGAATCAACCTATCATAAGATTCAGCAATACCACTCTTGGGCATATACCCAAAGAATGCTCAACCATACCACAAAAACATTTGTTCAACTATGTTTATAGTAGCATTGTTTGTAATAACCAGAACCTGGAAACAACCTAGATGCCCCTCAACCAAAGAATGGATATAGAAAATGTAGTGCATTTACATGATAGAGTACTACTCACCAGGAAAAAGAAAGACATCTTGAAATTTGCGTGCACATGGATGAAACTAGAAGAAACCATCCTGAGCGAGGTAACCCAGACCCAGAAAGATGAGTATGGTATGTACTCACATAAGTGGATACTAGCTGTAAAGCAAAGGATAAGGTTCACAACCCCAGAGAAACTAAGTAACAAGGAGAGCCCTAAAAGAAGCATACATAGATCTCCCAGGGAAGGGGAAATAGACAAGATATCCTGAAAAAAATTCGGAGTGTGGGGATGAAGGAGAGAAAGCAATGCGGCAGGAGAGAAGGAGGAAAAAAAGAGGCGGGCAGAGGAGAACTAGAGGGAAAGGGATGGTCAAGATGGGGGAAGGAAAGAGATATCTTGATTGAGGAAGCCATTATGGGACTAGCAAGAAACCTGGCACTAGAGAAATTCCCAGGAATCCACAAGGATGACCCCAGCTAATACTCTAAGCAATAGTGGAAAGGGTGCCTGAACTGGCCTTGCCCTGTAGTCAGACTGATGACTATCTTAAATGTCACCATAGAACCTTATTCTATCAACTGATGGAAGCAAATGCAGAGAACCACAGTGGAGCATTGGACTAAGTTCAAAAGTCCAATCAAAGAGAGGGAAGAGTGAGAATATGAACAAAGAAGTCAAGGCCGTGATGGGGACATCCATTGAAACCGCTTACCTGAGCTAATAAAAGGCTTCCAACTCCGGCTAGAGAGCAAGGGAACCAGCATAGGACCAAACTAGGTCTTCTGCATGTGGGTAACAGTTGTATGGCTGGGACAGACTGTGGAGTCGCTGGCAGTGAGACCACAATTTATTCCTACCGCTTGTTCTGGCTTTGGGGAACCCATTCCACTCCTCAGAGAGGGTAAGGCTTTCCATGAGGAGTCTACAAAGTCTAGCACATTGCTTTGAGGCAGGACCAATGCTCTTCCCCTTTATATCTCTGCTCAACATCTAGGTTGTTTCCAGGTTCTTGCTATTACAAACAATGCTGCTATGAACATAGTTGAGCATATACTTTTATTGTATGATAGGGCATCTCTTGGGTATATTCCCTAGAGTGGTATTGCTGGGTTCAATGGTAGGTTGATCCCGAATTTCCTGAGAAACCACCACACTGCTTTCCAAAGTGGTTGCAAAAGTTTGCATTCCCACCAGCAATGGATGAGTGTACCCCTTACTCCACAACCTCTTCAGCAAAGGCTATCATTGGTGTTTCTGATTTTAGCCATTCTGACAGGTGTAAGACAGTATCTCAGAATCGTTTTGATTTGCATTTCCCTGATGGCTAAGGATATTGAACATTTTCTTACATCATGTCTTTCAGTCATTTCAAATTCTTCTGTCGAGAATTCTCTGTTTAGATCTGTACCCCGTTTTTTAATTGAATTATTTGATATTTGATGTCTAATTTCTTAAGATCTTTATATATTTTGGAGATCAGTCCTCTGTCTAATATGGGGTTGGTGAAGTTTTTCCCATTTATTAGACTGCTTTTTTTTGTCTTATTGACTGTGTCCTCTGCTTTACTGAAGTTTCTCAATTAGGAGGTCGCATTAACTATGCTAAACATACCCGATCTCATTTGTTCTCAGAAGTTAAGCAAGGTTGGGCCTGGTTAGTAGTTGGATGGATGTGCAACATTTTTTATCCATTCTTCAGTTGATGATATCTTAAAGTTGTCTTGATTTGCAGTAAAAAAACAATGATTTCTTGAATTTTGCATGCAAATGGACAGAAATAGAAAACACTATCCTGAGTGAGGTAAGCCAGACCCAAAAAGAGGAACATGGGATTTACTCACTCATAATTGGTTTCTAGCCATAAATAAAGGACATTGAGCCTATAATTTGTGATCCTAGAGAAGCTAAATGAGAAGGTGAACCCAAAGAAAGACATATAGGCATCCTCCTGGATAATAACCTTCATCAAGCGATGAAAGGAGACAGAGACAGAGACCCACATTGGAGCACCGGACTGAAATCCTAAGGTCCAAATCAGGAGCAGAAGGAGAAAGAGCATGACCAATGAACTCAGGACCGCGAGGGGTGCACCCACACACTGAGACAATGGGTATGTTCTATTGGGAACTCACCAAGGCCAGCTGTCCTGGGTCTGAAAAATCTTGGGATAAAACCTGTCTCGCTGAACATAGCGGACAATGAGGACTACTGAGAACTCAAGAACAATGGCAATGGGTTTTTGATCCTACTGCACATACTGGCTTTGTGGGAGCTTAGGCCATTTGGATGCTCACCTTAGTAGACCTGGATGGAGGTGGGTGGTCCTTGGACTTCCCACAGGGCAGGGAACCCTGATTCCTTTTCAGGCTGACGAGGGAGGGGGACTTGATCGGGGGAGGGGGAGGGAAATGGGAGGCGGTGGCAGGGAGGAGGCAGAAATCTGAAAGAAAGAAAGAAAGAAAGAAAGAAAGAAAGAAAGAAAGAAAGAAAGAAAGAAAGAAAGGAAGGAAGGAAGGAAGGAAGGAAGGAAGGAATTAAATATATTATGTCACATTTGGAAATGGCACTATCACTGAGTC